ATTGTTGATTATATAAAGAATAAAAGGGTCTAGGGCTTTACCTTAATATTGTGGAACAATTTCAGCCCCAAGTCAGTTTTAGCAAGTAAATTATTCTCAATGCCAGGTAACTTCGAGTCGACCCAGTCAACTCCTCCTCCGTTCTCACTTGTTTTTGTTGTTTTTCGGGGACTGCAAACTCAATTAAAGCTGCCAACTTTGTGGTAAATTGCGCTCTGTATGCGCAATGAACGAACGAACCTCGTCTCTCCACACAGAAACAGAAAAACAGTGAAACAAGTTCTCAGGCGAAACTGGTCCGATTTCTCAAAGTTGCTGCTGCTGCCGCCTGTTGCTGCTCTCCTCCTCCGGCGATCATTCAATTTCCAAACAACTGAGCAACCAAAAAAAAAAACCAAAACAACCGAAATTCAATGTATACGTACTGTATCCATAAGGAGAAAGAGACTCGGCTTTTGAAAGCAATCCAAGCGTAAACCAGAAAAAAGCCTCGGCAACAGCAGACACAACAATACAAAAGTTCAGATCTCCCCGGGAATTATCATATTGAAACTCACTTAAAGCAATTCGAGGGGATCATCAAATGTTTGTACTTTTTGCGGCTTACCTGTAACGAGAGAAGAGAATAAAATTCAAATTAAAATATGGCAAAAAACATCATTAATATTTGGAATTAATCAGTTAATTGAGCCAGTAATGATGGGATTGTGTGAGAGACTCTAGAAACCGCACTCAATCGCACTGGCTCCGTCCTCGAACTAGCGCTGACCCTATCCGTCATATACCAATGGATATATTATATACTGACAACGCCAGAAGTCAATTTTCGGTGGCATGTCAAAAATAATTGAGGGAAAAGCTAAGCAGAATAAATAAATACACACAAAATAAAGATAATTTTTGCCTGCCTATCTAACATAGCCGCCTGCTATCGCTGTTTGCTTGCGTTTCGGTTAATTGAAATGTTTGCCAACTTGCTGCCTCAGCTGTATCTGAATCCTCACGGACATCTGTCATTTTCACAAGTTTTCCAGAGTGCCCTTCCTGCTGACCGCTTTTCCATCCTGACCTCACAGATATAACAACTCAATTTCATTGTCGATCGTCAGCAGACAGATCCCTTTAAAATCCATAAATTATTCACTGCGAACCTAGCGGGTATCTAAACCGAAAAAACCGAACCCAAATCGAAATCTGAATTGTGTGTTTACCAGTTTTTCTGTTTCTCGTCGTGGTCTCTGTGCACTTTGAGCCTACGTGATGTCTTGCATGGAAATTCCATTTACATTTCTCGTATGCCTCTTTTCGTCGTCGTTGCTTCTCTTTCGCCTTTTCAACACACAAACATGTCAAGCGAACTGCCAAATACAAAATATATGTATTTGTATATATATTTTTGGGCTGGGCCAACACACACATGAAGAAGAACAGCCAAGTCAACCACAGAAAATTATTGAAAAAATCTTTCTAGAACACAAAATATACATTTTACAAGCTTTCGTAATACGTTAATAAACGGCCAACTTTGGGTAAGTAAATAAATATGGAAACTCAAAAATCATTTAATTTAAATATCTGTAATGGCTGTGGACTAATCTTAAAACTAACTCGTTGAAAACGTCTAAAATGTTCCCAGTAGATAGCTCTTAATTCTTAGTCTCTGATATCTAGGTGTCCAAAAGACAGATCGACAAACGATCAACGGACAAACTGACTTGGCTAAATCGTTTCGCCTGCTAATGCATCATCAGGAAAGCATCAATCTTAATTAAGCCTATAAGAATTTTGTTAGCAGATAGCTCATCTTTAAGATTACTTAAAAAATTGTACGAATTGAAAGTAATATAAATTCAAATTAATAAATAAGGAATGAAGCTGACAGAAGTGAGCTTTGGTCCGCTCGTTCACCCATTTCTCCCCCGTTTACCATATGGATGTATATTTTACCTCTATGCGTGGGCTGAATATGGTAGAATATCTTTGAAGAAACCTTCTTGGGCTTTTTATTTTCTGTGTGAAACACCGAAAAAAAATCAACACCCACACAACGATGCCATTAACGTATCGCATAACCAAAACGAGAGCGACAAAGCCAAAAACTACAATAAGTTGCAGGGAGGGAAAGGTAGGGGAATTGGATGCCAAGACGAGAGGGGAGTTTAGGAGGAAACGCGCGTCTGGGTTTTAATGAGAGATGCACGCGTGTACCAATTTTCTTTTTGGGAGTCTGGTGTTCCCGGAGTGCGAGTTTCGAGGTCTGTGGAACCTGTTTTTCGGGAACCCAGACACAGACGTCTCTGTGTGTGGAACCTGTTCGGAGATTATGCTCCACAACGCTTTCTAGGTAGCGCTTCAAGAACCGGGTTACCGACTACTGGTTTTCCCTTATATTACCTGTCATCTGTATCTGTATCTGTATCTGTATCAGCCCAAAATCACACCTTTAATAAGCACACGCCTCACGCTGCCATCTCTGGCGTATAGAATAACGGTGTCACGTTGCAAAGCATCGCCACGGCAGAGAAAGGGAAGCACCAAAGTGAAAGATTCTCGTTATTAAAGCAGCTCCAAGAAAAACGAGAAGCTGTAAAAATTAGAGCTCTGGACTTAAATGTCCTATGACTTAAAGCACCCTCACAGTTACATAGACTCTGAAAGAATTTCTTTAATTTATTACATCCCTACCTCCTTGAAGCTTTAAGGAAACCGGAGAAGGAGCTCCAGTTATGGTCTTGTGGATGTAGGAGAAATTGCGAAAGAGAAGAACGCCTACACAGACAGACAGACAGGCAGACGCTGGAGAAAGAGGGGCAGAAGAAAGAGAGGGCAGCCAGAGATAGGAGACCGGCTGGGTTGGATAGCGCGCAGCTGCCTAAGCTCCTTTCCTTCCAATCCTTCCCACTCAAACTCAAAACTCAATCCGATATTTCCAGGGGTAAAGCGAGGTGAGCCGGGCATGGAGGAAGAAATCTTCTGTGAGGTCTGGGCGCACTCTCAACTGAAATTATTAGTAACCGACGGAGATTTATGGGCGAAAGTACGAGTACAACAATATATTGAAAAGGCAACAAAGTAAGCGGAAACTTTTGAAGCCGCCGATCGACGGAAAGCATAGAGAGACTGAAGAAAGAAGGCGGAGAAGAACCACAGAGGAAGTCGAGAATGCTGAGGGAGAAGTTAATGATGGCAGAATGTGAGGGCACAAGGTGAGAATAATGCAGGCTGAGAGAAGAAAGCTGAGCTCAATCTCACATATGTAAGTACATTTAAAGCTGTAGTAAGTCTACAATAGGTTACTTCATCAAAATTACCAATTTACCAAATCAGATCAGGACTCCTGAAACATTTTTCCATGTCATGCCTGCAATGTAGAAGCAAGTTAACAATAAAAGCTCAGTAACGAGCATGAGAGAATTATTATTTGATAAAGAAATGTTGCCAAATAATTTCACTCTAGAGTATCCTTCATTCCCATTACATTTGAATGGAAATTACGAAAAATTTAATTATGAATTAATATTGAAACAAGGCCTCCCAAACTATATTAATCCAATTGCATTAACATTGTTGTCTCCACTATCTTTGCCTGAAATTAATTTCCAACTGTTCCGGTCGATAAGATAATGGAAATAAAAATAAACAAACAACTGTCGGAAAATCCATATATGGTCATATAAATACCCCTATCTCTGGCAAAAGTATTCGTCAACAAACCAACGAAAATTAGAAGAATCTTATTAAAAAAGTGGGCTTATCAGGAGAGCCCAAGAAAGGGCAAAAAAAAATATGTAAAAATATTATCTCGTTTTGTGTCAAGCCAAACACGACCAAACCAGAAGCAGAGATAAACAATTCGCAGAGAGGGGGAAAACAAAAAAATTAGAGGGCAAAATTATCAGAAAAGATAGAAATAAAAAGAGAGCAATAAAAAATATTCCAGAACTGAGATGACGACAACAAGCGAGAAGCGAAAAGCGAGCGAATGGAAAGCGCAAACAACAACAGAAATATTTTTATAAGTCGCAATAAGCGAAAAATAAATAAACCGAACGAACGAAGGAGAAACACACAGAAAGCACAAAGCTGGAGAAGCATAGGAGGAGGCAAGGGAGGAGCTCGATTGGGAGACAATTGGGGTGGCAATTGCGTCCGATGGAATTTTCAATGAGCGCCGTAGAATTGGCTTGGGAAATACGAAGCGGCCTTGTGTATGTGTGAGATATCAGGCTATAACTCATAATAGTAATAAAACCCAAAAGTAAGCGAATAAAGTAAGGCAGCCAAAAAGTTAAGGGCTATGAAAATATCAACACGAATTTAGAGGGATTTTTCTTTGCCGAGACTGACGACATGTTCGGGCATTCAAACGCAATCGGATCCAGCACGGAAAAAAACACAGTCTGGGAATGTCCACGCAAACCCAAAAATACAAAATACAACAAATCAACGGAAGGAGAAAACGGCGACAAACCATGAGAATTATCGCTACTCTCCTTCTCGCCCGCGTACAAAAAAAGTTGCCATGGCGTCTATTGTGATAATCAACAATGAAAAGGAACACCGCGACGGGTGGGGGGAGTGCGGGAGAGCAGGGCAAACAGGGCGATAAGGTTCATGCAAGAAGAAGCAGCAGCATTATGGCACGGCAACCAATAATAATAAATATTGCGCCTAGTATATGTATTAATAACAACAGTTTATTTGCCACAGCGCGTGTGTGATAACGATAACTCAAGCAAATCAAGCGATTGTCACAATAATCGATGAGTACCATCACAGCAACAGAGTGCAATCAAAGGCAAAGAAAATTGAACTTATTTCGAGTGATTCATCTGTTCCTTATAGAAATTTTGATCAGAAGAAAAGTCTAATTTATTGACCTGATTTGGTAACTCAGTAGGATCTTTTCGAAAAAATCTTTTTTTATGAAATTTCCAACAAAAGCAAAAGTTTAAGACTCAGTCTGTAAACTTCTTAAACTTAATCTTTTCATAACTCACCTGTTTGACGCTTTCGCTTGCTTTTTGCGGACGCTTCCGATGATGTTGCAAGTTGCCGCTGCAGGAGTTGCTGCTGCTGCTGCTGATGACGCGAACCGTCCGCGGATGCCGTTACCGTTAGATCACAGCCGTAGAAGGACACCGCTCTAGCCGACAGTCCCGCTCCTAGTATCGCACCGAAACCCGATACCGATCGCGCTACCGAACCTGCTGATGCTGATCCTGGAAGCCCAACTCCAACTCCTCCTCCGGCAACGTCGGCGTAGTCAACGAAATCGGACGCTCTCGTCTGTTGGGACGTTTTCATTGGCGCACGCTATCCCGCTCCGGCGTGGTCTGCTCTCGTCCTTGCACTCAGTTGGCTGTCATTTGAGTTTCTTCATTTATTTGCGTTCCGCTCCGTTTTCCTTCCGTTTCGCTTGGTTCCGGCTTCTTACAAACTACACGTGTTGTTTGTACAAGAAAATGCAACGATTTCACTGACGAATTTCGAGGGATCTCTTGCAAAATTCTATTTAACTTATTATGTATGCTTATATTTTCATTATTTTCAACTTTCCGCGTAAAACTCGATACGTAGAATAGATATATTTACAGTAATATTAATTATTTCAAGACAAATACAATTTATACCAAATTAAAAGACAATCTGAAAAGAAAATGGAAAGGGAAATGCGATTAGTTTTAAGAAATAAATACAGTTTTACTGATTAAAGACTGGCATCCAAAATAAATCACCTAAAAACATCAACACACTCGCAGACACACTCGCCCACCTTTGCCCACATTTTTAGTTTAATTAGTTTTAGGAAATTTTCCATTCAAATATATATGTTGTTGTCCAAGGAACAGGCAAAAATAAATTATTATCAGACAACAGAGGTGATTCGCTGGGAGACTGCTACATTAATAAATTGTTTTCTTGAATTTAATAAAATTTTACCCTAAAGAAAAACTTTTTAAAATAAAAAAACAATTTTGCAAATATAATATAGATATAAAATTAAGAATTTAGATACTTTGTACTTGTTGTTAAACAGAGAAACTTTTTTTTCAAATTAAATCCATTTTTCTTGATTTAAAAACAAAAATGAAGTTAAATTTTCCAGAAAACATTTTTTTTATGATGTCGTCTTTACTACCTAACCTTGTCTTAAGTTCATAAAATCCGTGTTTTTAATTGTAGAGGAATTTTCTTAGTTTGAGGACAATTTTTAAGACGATTTTTCTTAATTACAGAAAAATATTTTATGAGTGTATTATTATTTCGGTAAACAAGCAGACCACTGTCAGTGATCACTGTAATTTAATATGCCTTTTCGCTTGAATCAGCATTTAAACTACGCAAAAAGCTGAGTGGAAGATAGAGAGGCACAAACTATAAAAACAAGAAAAGCGAGCGGAGGGCGAAAACAAAATTTGGGTGTCGAAAAAAAAAACAATAATAATAAAGAGAACCACAAAAGAGAGCGAACAAAACAAACAACAATAAAAAACACATTTTTGAGATTACGCACTTGGCCCATTGTACACAGGCACGAAAACAGCGACCCAACACGTACACACGAACTTCTGGCTCACACGGATACACATTTACACATACACAGCCAAACTCTTTTTCTACGCACTTTGCTAAAAAATATTCTACAAAGCCCTCGAAATTGAACCTAATTGGCAACTTTCGTTACCAACAAAACCCGAAAAACATCAAAAAAGAATAACGACCAAATTAAAGCAAACAAAAAGCCGGTTCCAAAGCTATTAATGGAGTGTGAGCGGGACAGAGTGTGTGTTATTGAATGGATTTTTGAATTGCAGCTGCTGCTGGGCCCCCAACAGGGCCTAAAACAGATACCCCTTAAAAGGATACTTTGCAACTAAGTTAACCCAAAGCTATAACCAGATATATTTTCTATTATAAAATACTTTAGTGCCTTTTATTGCGTCGAACCTTGCTAATCTATAAGAAATATCTATAGTAGAGACACTATTGGATTGTTAATTAGCCAATAGACTATGCAATCTGAGGAAAAACTAGAAAATACTTTAAGGTTCTCTTAAAATTGAACTTAAAGTGGCATTTACAAGGCAATGGCTATAGGTAATACGGAAAAAATAAGACTTGTTTCCCAATTTCTGCCTCGGACTTTTATAGGTTTCTTGAAGAAGACTCTTAGTAAGTACTAGGTATAGCCACAGGCACACACACTCTTTAGGCTCTTGACTAATACGACGACATTTAGTTAACAACGTCGACGTCAGCAGCGTTGCCAGCGTCGCCGTCCCGGCGCAGACGTCAAAACAAGGCAGAAGAAGAAGAAGAAGGTGAAACCGGGCATAAAACAAGTTTCCACAGCTTCTTGTTGCTGTTGTTGTTGTTATTGTCCATCATCATCATCCCATTTTTGGGTGTAACCGAAATTAATATTTATGTTTGGCTGTTGGCTGATTTGTTCGTAGGAAAATTGCAAAACATAAAAGGTTTTCTTTCGTAATATTTCACCGCACAGAAACACACAAACACGGACACAAACACCTGCCAGGTGTTTATTTATGCATTTTAATTTCTTTTGCACCTCTTTTCGCAGCTTCCATATATACCCCAGTGTATATATTTTTTTTTGGTTCCCTTCGTCGTCGGCGACGGCGACGGCGGCGGCTTTCTTCAGAGTGTACTTTCTTCGGTGGCTTAGCTTCTGTGTGTGCTAAGCTATATAGCTGCCATTTGGGGCGTGCAACGTCTGCTCGCGAAGCCTTTTGTGGAGACTCTGATGCCAAGACCCGAAACTTTGTTGCCACAGAGCCGGAAAAAGAAGAGAGCCAGCCAGCGCCACTCTTCGGCCGGCGTCTGCGCAAGCCCCAGGCTCTCTTTCTCCCTCTATCGCACTTCCTTTCTCACCGCCACACTCTTCTCGCCGTGTTGCCGCTCAATCTGCGACTTTTTTTTAAAGCTCTGCCCGGGGGACAAATCGCGAAATTATTTTTGCTTTCTTTCGCCATGGTTGTTGTTTTGGTTTTTCCTTCATTTGCTACCCAGAAGGATACCAGAGGTATGCATGTGGTCTACTAGGGAATCTAAAAGGACAACAGAGAACCGGTTTCTAAGCAGCTTTTTGTACTAATTTTTGGTTTCCCTTGTAATTCTGCTAAAGGGTGCGAAAAATATATATAGAATATGTCGCAAAACTTTAATACAATTAATGAAGGAGCTCTGAAAAGAAACCTTTTTTCCAGGGGTATTCCCATGGTCGAAAGGCTCGCTCTTGGCTTGATTGCTTACGTGGATGTCGCCACCTCAAGCGCCACCCAACAACGGTGTGAGGAAAAGGGGTCTCCCCATTTGACACGTAAGGATTTGCGTCGGCAGCAGAAACCCGAGGCGTCAGGGGGTTGGGGGTTACTAGATGAGAACCGGCAAAAGGGGCACCTTGCGAAATAGTTTTTTGTGCTGCGAGAGGGTTGAGGTTGAGGTGCGAATGGGCCAAAGTGGTTGGATAGCCGCCGGGGCAAAAAAAGAGAGACGCAAAGGCAAAAGTTGCGTCGTGGGCAGACTTAATTACACACACACACACTTTTAGAACACAAGATGTGAAAATAGCTACGAGTGTGTGTGTGCAACATATTTTTAGCTTTACCAAGGAACTGTTATAGTTTCACCCTCCCTCAATTTTGAATAAGAAATGCGAAAGGGTCGAGAGGTGACAGCCGGTACAAAACTTTGGTTTCTCTGCAAAGGATCAAAGAAAAACATATGGTTTCCAACGCACAACTGAATAATTTGATCGAATTTGGGTTAACAAAAGGAAAGCGGTTCCAAGATGGCAAGGTAAAATGGGGTAATAATTCATTGGAAACTTTAACAATAGGCAGGGAAGCCAAAGAAAAATGTGGCAAGATATGATTAGATATGGAAATAAGGATAAGAGGAGACTTAACAACTCCTTTCGATTTATTCCTAAATTTAAATTTTATAAAGGTGGTTGAAGATAAAATCTAAATTAAAAACGATCCCCATTTATATTGCTAGATGCTAAACATTCCAGCGAGATGGACTAGTAGCAGTAGAGTCGAGCACGAAACCTTTGTTTAAACTTTAAAGTAACACACAAAAGCTCCCTTTATCCTAAACTAAATCATAGATAGATTTTTTGGGGTTTGCCATTGAGCTCTCTCAGCAGGATGCTACGAGTTCTACGAGTCTGTGGACCCCACCGCGGGGGTTTCCCACAAGAAGACTCGATTAGGTTTACGCTGAAACTGGTTTAGTGCCAACGTCAGCAGGCAGCTCTATTTTCCCCGATTTTCCACATCTCCTACGACTTGCGTCCCTGTCCCCGGAGCATCAACGCCGCAATTCAATCAGCAATATGGTTGGCAGCCTGAGCATCAATTACAGGCCAATAAAGCTACCGCCCCTTACTGCTCCATTTCCCCCACCCCACTCTAGTAATCTCGTTTGGTAAACTTTCCAAACAGCTGTTGGGTGAAGGGGTTCGGAATCGAGGGAAGCAGGAAAAGCATGGCTAGGGGTGTGGAAGATCGTGGGAGGAGCGCACAAAACATATGGAAGCGCCAATGGTTTTTGTCTTTTCTTGTAAGCTCTAATTGACAGCTGCCAAAGTGAGGGAAAGGAAGAAATGGGGGACAAGCTGGGAAAACCCACAAGCAGTTATACACCTCCTTTCCCTTGCCTCGTTTAAGTTGTGCAACAATTTCCCTTTAAATGATTTACATAAAAAACCCTCAACATCTCTCCATCTCTTTTTTTCGGTATCCTTGCATGAATGAGCCAGGACGTTTTAGCTCTCTCGCTCTCTATTTGTCCTGAGAGCGGATAACAGAAAGAGAGAGAGAGCGCGAGCAGCCGGCGGCGGTTTCTTTGATGTGTCGACAAATGCCGAGTTGAAGTTGATGATTATGATGACGCAGCGGCACAGCAGGACATGAAGAGGGCTAAAGAGAGAGCAAAGGCAGGAAAGAGCGAAAGGGGGCGGAGTATAAGGAGTGATTTCCGTTTGCGAGCTGTTGTTGTTTTCATTTTGTTTTGATAAATGCAAAGAGCAAAGGAAGAAAAAGAGTTGGCGATAAATCCCAAACAATAAAGGAACCCCAAGCGAATCAAAAAAGTCCCCAAGCGTGCAGATTTGGAAAGTTTAAATTGTTAAAAACGTACAGTTTTGTTAATTTCATTGAGTATTCGTTAATATTACACGCCCTAAATAGTTACTAATTTCATATATTAAATTTGTTTATATTTGAGGTCTACAAAAATAATGGTTCACATGTATGCTTTCAATAGTTTTAAACGTTTCTAACAGAAAAAAATTCAGTAATTTGTTTTAAATCTTGCAAATAAGACTATAAATATTATCTCCTAATATCTATAGTTCCCGTTTAGATAAATATTGTATCTTCATATCTATTAGATGAATATTGTATCTTCATATCTATTAGTATTGTATCTTCATATCTATTAAATTCATATAATATAACTATAAATATAAAGATTCTCTATATATTGGTTACATTGTTTAAAATTCGTCAAATGAAGGCACCTTTTAGCTGGGGAATTTCATCACAAAACATCCTTCGTAAGGAGCTTAAAAGGGACACATTGGACAGGGGAAGGGTCAAAAGATGCACCCGCACCCGCATGCTAGGAAAACACTGGGAAAATGTTTCTGTTTTCCCATATGGAAAAGACACAGAGAGGAAACACCCCCAGCAAAGGCCGTTAATTTTTAACCGAAGCACCCTGTGAAACGAATTGTTAATAACAAAGGGCAGTCGAAAAACACAAGTTCCATAGGAGAAACAAGTTAAAGATGCAATTGAATATTGTTTTTCTCCGTCTATTTCATTTGCTTTGCTTTTTCTCACTCACACCCGCACGCACACAAGCACACACAACACACACACACACACACACAATACGTGCGCTACTTTGAGTTCATCGTTTTTAATTCATTTTCGAGAGTTTCTCTTCTCTCTGCTTCTTCTCCTTGTTCGCTCAGCAAACACAACAAAAAACACACGCCACACACACACTGGCACACGGGACGTGGTAATTGAATATTGCTTTTCACATTTTGCTTACTTCTTAGCTTCATTGACGATTTGGTGTCGTGGAAATTCTTGCTTATAAAAAAACACTCGCCATGGCTATATTTCTGTCGCGTTTTCTCACTCACGCACTCGCAAAACACCTTCTGATGTTTTCTTGTCCGCGTCGTTAGTTTTTATTTCGGAAAAACTGCTAAGCGCGCGCGACGCGACCTCCGCAAACGGAATTTTCTTTTTTCTTCTTCGCGCTGAGAGCCAGACGAAGGAAAACGCCGTTTTCAGTTTTCACTGTTTTCCCAACCGAACCGCGAATACCAGTGTGACCAAATGAAAATTTATAGGGCTGATAATATACATCGAAATATCAATATATCGATATTTTTCCCACAGCGTTGCCAGACTGCTGAGGAAACATCGATAATAATATCGATTAGCGCCTATCACAACCATCAAGTGTGACCCCACCGGATATATTGTTTTATTTATTTGAGTGTGGTCACTCAGCACCGCTTGTAAACATTAAACAAATTGCATTTTTTACTTAACTTTATTGAAATGCTGTCCCTAACTGATGCCGGTAACTCTGTGGGCATTCCGGACAAGGCCTGGCAACCGCACTTTGTGACTCTGGAAACGAGGTAACACTGATTTCTGCACTATTTGTTATAAACATTAAATGTTTGTTTACCGCGCAGCATGGGCGAAATCACTGTGGAATTGTACTGGAAACATGCGCCAAACACCTGCCGGAACTTTGCCGAGCTGTCCCGGCGCGGCTACTACAATAACGTGGTGTTCCACAGGATCATCAGGGACTTCATGATCCAGGGCGGCGATCCCACGGGCACGGGCAGGGGAGGCACCTCCATCTACGGCGCGGAGTTCGGCGACGAGCTGCACGGCGACCTGAAGCACACTGGCGCCGGCATCCTCTCCATGGCCAACTCGGGGCCGGACACGAATGGCTCCCAGTTCTTCATCACCCTGTCGCCCACGCAATGGCTGGACGGGAAGCACACGATCTTCGGGCGAGTGTACACCGGCATGGAGGTAGTCAAGCGGATAGGAATGGTGGAAACGGACAAGAACGACCGGCCCGTGGATCCGCTGAGGATAATCAAGGCGAAGGTGGAGAAGCTGTGAGCGATTAAAGTCACTTATCGTTTGAGAACTTGAACTTAACTTTTATTTTGCGGAATGACTAGAAACACTAAGATCTTCTCTGATTGCACAGATCGGGGGATTATCGCGTCTACATGGTGCTGTCCAGCATGTCCACCAGTCGCTTGATCTCCCTGCTGCGGGTGGGAAAAGATAGATCGTATAACCAGTCTCTGGAAGGGGTTCCTACTCACATTCGCTGTCCCAGCTGCTCCGTGGGCTTCATCGACTTTGTTATCTCCTCGGCCTTGGCCAGCAGCTGGTACTGGCACTTGATGTTCGCGTCCAGGGTGTCGGTCAGCTTGTTGACCGCACTTCTGTGCACCTCCACGTTGTCGGCGGTGATCGAGGAGATGGAGTGCAGCAGGTTGCCCAAATTCTCCAGCAGGTTGTCCACCGAGCTGGCCAGATACTGGGCCTCCAGCTCAATGTCGCTCAGCACACTGCCATCGACCTCGGGCACGTTGCGCGACTGCAGAAAGCGACGCGTGATACCCGGGGCCACAGAGGTGGACGGTGTAGTGTGCTCCGAGGAGTAACCCTCGCGGAGCTTGGCCTCCAGATCGTGGGCCACAAAGTGACGCATGCCGTCGGAGTCGCTGGCGCCCTCCAGTTCGTAGGGAAGGTCTGGAAAGAGTGAAACCGGTCAGGATACATTCGCATCTGTGGTGCTCCACAGGCATACTACTAGTCTCCGCTCTGCGCTGCACTTCCCCCGCCGAGCTGTCCTTGGAGTTGCTGTTCGTGTTGCTATTGTCCTCCTCCTCCTCCCCCTCGGGATCCAGCTCCTCATCCTCTCCATCCTCCGCGCCAGAGTCCAGGTTCACGTAGCTCTCGCCACTGTTCCCGGGCAGGGGATTCTCGGGGGCTGCCGTTGGCGTGAGATCCTGCAGCACGTTCTCCGGCACTGCGCCCGGATACTGGGCCAGAAACGGAATCTCAGTGTACGAGGACGCGGGTGTGGTCTGTCCCCCAGTTCCGGCTCCAGCTCCTCCTGACCGCTGCCGATTGTCCGGGCCAGTCTCCTCGTCCACGTAACCGTAGCGTGGCCGAATGGGAATGTCCTGGTGGCGGTGGGACATGGTGGATGCTGTTTGGGGGCTAGGAATCCCAATCCAATCAAAAACAAAGAGGTTCGTGAAACCAAAACAAACTTTTCTAGAATTAGAGTGACCGGAGCACGGAAAGAGTATAAAACCGGTTTGCATAGCTATTTTTAAGTATATCTGGCTGAAACTATACAACACTGGACGCTCTGGCGAAAAACAAAACAAAATGGCAGAAAACAAAACAAAATGGCGCACTTGCCATTTTTTTCCGCAAGTTCTAAAAATGGCGTAATTTATGAGCTGTCTATTTTAGAGCTTTTTTTAAATCTCTGTATTTTTGTTATTTTCCTTGGAAAAAACGAAATTTGTTAAATAATGCTATAAATTTATTAATGAACATTAATAAATAATAATAAATATCTTTTTTTACAAAAACAAATACGGTTTTTGATTTACATTATTTCAATACTGTTGTGACCCGGACCAATAGACTTGGATACAGAATAGGAATAATAATAGAAACAATAAGGAGCCAAAGTTATCAATATTGTTATGTCCTGCTTTTCGCGCGTTCGTTGCCGGCTAGGCAAAGTCTCTCTCAAGGAGGGGAACAACAAAAAAAACAAAACGGAATTTTAAACTTGGACAACGGCTAACATTTTTGCAACGGATTTTGGAACCTCTGGACTGGACTAACTGGCTCATCCGTAGTCCTTGGAGTCCCTCCCAACCATGAGTGCATCCTCCGACACATCTCCCAAAATTCCAGTAGTGGATCATATCTGCTCCATTCATCGTATCCCCCCCAACACGAATGTCTACTCTGACTTCATTTTACCACTTCACTGTATTTTCATTATTTCTCTTAAATTATAACATGGAGACATCCTACCAACGGTAGCGAAGGACTTTCACAGGGATCATTAAACATAGATATATATAAATAAATAATTTAATAAATACTAATAAATAATTGTATGACGAGTACTATGTTTTCAATAACTGAATGCTTTAAATTAATATGTTTGCTGAATAAATACGACTTAAACTACATTAATTATTTGTGTGTGACATGGTTATTTAAATTAAGTTATTTTTCCTTCACTCAGTTTTTGCGGCATTTTTTTTTACCGCTCGCAATGTTTTGGGGTAATTGTAGTATTTCGTATTTCTTTACGGCTGGCAGTTATGTGTGTTTTTAAATTCTATTCGGGTATAAAAACCTGTGGCCACCCAGGAAGAAGTGCCTTTTTTTTCTTAAGCCTCTCTTCGCCCAAAAACAACTCACAAATTCTCGGGTTCAAACTTCGGTTCATTTGGGAGTCATCCGGTTTAAGGAACCAGTTCCATCATGGACTCAGTTGCCCAACTCCCTGGACTCACGAGTCGTCGATGACCGGTTATCGGACATACCGATCGTCATCTGGGTCACACTAAACCCCGCCAGGGCTCTATATAAGGCGGGCCACAGCCCTAGGGATATCAGTCGATCGTCGATCGGCAAGTGCCTCTCCGCAGGGTGAATGTGACCACCGCACACTTGTCTGTGTTGATGGCCACATTCCATCTACAAGCCCAGTTTTCAAACTTCTTGAGAAGTAGCTGGAGTTTGTCCGTCGCACTGTAGATGCAGCTTGACCTGGCCAGTACTGCGGTGTCGTCTGCGTACGTGGCAACACATGTGCTCTCTGAGCTAAGATGCAGCGGCGCATCGTGGGCGAAAAGGTTGTAGAGCGTAGGCCCCAGCACGCTTCCTTGTGAAACGCCAGCTCGTATCCTCCTGGTAGAGGCCACTCCATCCTGAACCACTTGGAAGGTCCTGTCAATGAGGTAGCTACAGATAACCTCATATAGCTGTGGTGGCAGGAGTTTTTTGATTTTGGACAGAAGCCCTTCATGCCAGACCCTGTCAAAGGCCTGCTGGATGTCCAGGAAGGCAGCCACAACATACTGCTTCCTCTGGAACCCCTCGACAATGAAGTCAACAACTCGTTGGAGCTGTTCTGGGGTGCCATGGCCTTTGAGGAAACCGAATTGATGCTTCGGTATCGCCTCGATGATCTGGGGTAATCGCAGCATCCTGTCCAGTAGACACCTCTCGAACACCTTAGCGAACGTGGGAAGGAGACTGATTTGCCTGTAACTAGCCACATCGTTGCAGGTCTTCCCCTTCTTGTGCAGCATCACCACGTTTGCTTTCTTCCATGAGGCCGGGAAGTGTCCAAGTCGCAGTGCGGCATTGTAGACTAGGACCAGGAAGAGAAGTGCCTTGACCGGAAGGAGTTTAGCAACTCTACTGGAAATGCCATCCGCTCCTGGCGACTTCCGGTTCTTCAGCTTCCTGATCCTGGCCTGCACTTCCGTGAGCAGGATCGGTGCGATGGGAGGCGCCATTTGATGTGGTGTCTCCAGAGATGCTCGGACCTTTTCCGTCCTGTCCTTTGAGGATGTGGCAAACGGGGTAAAGCGTTCCTCGAGACTTTCCGCGAAGGCTTCCGCTCGGTCCAAAGGTGTCCTCGCCCAGTTTCCGTCTGCTTTTTTGACAGGGAACTTAGGGGTAGCTTGTCGCTTGTTCTGGCCCGCAAGCTTCCACAGCGCGTAGTCGGTGTCCTTGTTCGGCGTAGCCTCCTCCAGCTCCCTGTCCATGCGCTCCTGTCGCAGCTGTTGCAGCATCCTCCTGACGCGGTGAGCAAGCCTGCGGTACACTCGCAACACCCTGGCTTCGTGCGTCCTTGCGTATTCCCTCCGGAGCCTGTGTTTTAGGTCAATCAAGGCCCTGATGTCCGGTGGAAGAGGAGAGCGGGGCACCATGCGACTGCTTCCTTCCGGAGGCGCGGCGAGCTCTGCTGCAGCCTTGATTTTGGAGTCCAGGAGGGTGGTGGCGTCATCTACATCCTCGGCTGAGTTGATGTCCATATTGAGGTTTATGGAGTCATCAAGCGTTCTCCTGAACACCCTAATGTCTGATCCCGGGGGCAAGAGCGTTCTTCTCATCTCGTATGCACTACCTGGCAGGTGTAGGCTGACTATAATGGGGATGTGGTCCGAGCTGAGCTCAAAGGACTCATCTATAGTCATCCTACAACCTTGGAGACCTTTAAGCACGGCGAAGTCCAACGCAGAAGGGGTTCTGCCGTTGCATGGGAAGCAGGTCGGCTTTCCAGTGGCGAGTACTTCCGCATTTGTGGCTTCCAGGGCCTCCACAAACGCTGCGCCTCTTCGGTCGGCTCTGAAGCTGCCCCAGTTGCGGTGCTTGGCGTTGAAATCTCCACCTATAATGGCGGAGATAGGCTGGTGTTGAGCAGATCCTCGAAACCATTACAGGACCAGGTAAAACGAGGGGGCAGGTAGACTGCCGCCACGTCTATGTCTCCGAAGCAGCAGTTAAGCGTGATCGCCGCCATTTGCATGCGCCCGAGCGAGATGGGGTTGTGCGGGTAGTATCTGAGGCCAACTCTGGCAAGGATGGCTGCTCCTCCTCTCACTGTCCTGCCAGGGAAGTCGGCTCGGTGTACGGTATATCCAGGGATACTGCAGAATACTCCTGGCTTAAGGTGGGTCTCAGACACAAGCATGATATCAATGCTGTGCCTTGAGAGGTACACCAGGAGCTCCTCCCGGTTGGCAAGGAGACTCCTGGCATTCCAGATACCCACCTTAAGGGTACCCACGATTGCTGGACATACCGCTTTGGAGATCTCTCACCACCAGAGAGATCGTGGCTAGGGAGCTTGCCAGCTGGTCCACCGTGCGTTTCAGGGTGCACAGCATCTCCACAATCCTGGACATGTCCCAGTCCGGGTCCTTGTTCTGTGGTAGGGGGGCCTGGCGAGATCTCCCTCGGCTTCCTAGCTCCGGGAAGTCGTTGTGCAGATCGTAACCGTAGTGCCTCAGTCCAGGAGGCGTTACGTTGGCGCTCGTAGCCGCTGCTTGTTGGCGTTGGTGCTCTCCCGCCCTGCGAGCGTAGGAGACGCCAGGTTGGAGCATGGCTGTGGGTGCTGTCGCCATCCGGCCGCGGGCATCTCTCGCCGGGCCTTTCTGCGGCTGTGCAGACTTCGGAAGGACTCCTTTGAGCTTAATGGCAAAAATGCGACATTTTTTGTCATACGCCGCATGGTTTTCGCCGCAGTTGGCGCACCTAAGGTCTGCAACTGTGGTGGCTTTGCACGCCTGCGAGCCGGTCCATTGGTCTTCGCCACATCTGCCACAGGCTGGCTGCTTCGAGCAGTAGTTTTTGGTGTGATTGAAGCCATAGCACCTAAAACACTGCTTCAACCGGTTTGTGTCGTTCTTAAGCTCGACAGATACTCGATGCCTGCCAAGCTTGGTGATCTGCAAGGCCTCCTTATTGTTAGGGGCCTGTTTAAGGTCAACAAACCAAATGTTTTGCTTGGCCTGCTCCTCCTGACCTTCTTGACGTCGAAGTCTGGGCGGAGGGTTGTAAGCATTGACCACGGTGTGACCCAGCTTGTGGAACTCCAGAGTTATGAAGTTCTGAGGGGTGGTGCTTGCCAGGTTTTTAACTACCAACCTGTAGCTTCTATCTTCCTTCAGACAGAAGTGCGTGTATACCACGTTGTTTTTCGTCAGGTACCTCGTGATATGACAGATCTCCAGTTCTGGCAGTGCGGAGCTCAAAGCCATCCGCATCAACTTCCATGAGGAGCGCCTTTTCCATCGCCTCAACATTGTTCACGTTGGGGACGGTGATCGGCCTCGGCTTGGCAGCGGGCTTGGCAGCTGGCTGGGTGGCAGCAGCCTCCTGCTCGGATTCCGTGGAGATGTCCTCTACGTCGACATCCTCATCCTCGCAGTCCATGTCCTGCGTCAGGTCCACTTGATCAAGCAGCGCAAACTTGTTAGGCGATTGCTGCTTGCTTGCCTTTGCTTTTGTTGCCGCTTCAGCAGCAATTGTGGCACGTCGTTTTGCAGGTTCCCTCCGCTGGACAGTCTGCCAGCTCGGCTGTGGGTTTTGAACGGGCTCCACAGGAGCGGCTCCTCTCCATTGGGGAAGGGCTGCGGCTTTTAGAGCATCTATAGCTTGCTCCGTATTGAGATTGCTCAACGCTTTGCTGCGGAGCGCACTCTTTTTGTTTGTAGAAGCCTTTTCCAGG